CCCCGCTGGTCTGAGAAAAAAAACGCTGCTTTCCAGTCTCCTACACTGCCCCTTCTCTCGTGTCCTCACCCAGACCTCAGCCTAACTATGGCTTTATCCCCCATGAATCTGGACTCAGAGCTCCCACATTCCCAAACAGACAAGCTCCAGTGAAACCAAGGAGGTCTTGCCTGAAAGCAAACTTGGGGAACCTTGTCCACCTCTTGCCAAACTAGGCCTATGTGTGTGTTTGGCAAATTGAGTCAGTAGAAAAAGCCTTCTTCCTACATTTGGGGGTAGACTCAATAAGCAAGGGCCAGCAGTGTCCGAAGAGATATTTTCTCTCTGAAGTTGAGCAGAAGGGTGAGTCTTGGCAATGACTGAGTGTCACGCYAGCCTTCATATGCCACCCTTGCCACAGGCTCCTAGGACTGAGCCCAGGGAAAGCTTTGCAGCTTGACCGAGCTGCCCTGCTCTTTCACAGTCACTGATGCATCTGCCTGTGTTGTTTCAGTTCTCCACATGCTGCAGGAAGACCAGCATCCCAGCGTGCAGCAGGCAGCAGCTCAGGTCCTCAGCAACAACTGACCAGAGCTTCAGAGCACCTAGGAGGTCATCAGCTTGACGTGCTCTCAGTGCAGAAAGTGAGCAACGGGAAGGCCAGACAGGAAGAAAGGGCAGGCACTGCACAGAGAGCTGGCAACTTGAAAAGCATGGAGCAAGTACAGTCAAGTGGCACAAATAAAACATTGTTTATTGAACAGAAGCTTAGACRGTCCTTCTTTGGGGCCAAGCCTGCTAGCTCGTTGCCTGTGGGCTAACAGTGCTGGTCATGTTGATSGAAGGCCTAAATGGCAAGACCATGTTGCCTCTGAAGCTGCTCCTGTGCCATGAGAAAGCTGAGGGATGGCCTTGGGAGGAAAGCAATGAACCCAGCATGGCTTCTGGCAGGAATGGCACATGGGAGTAGAGCAGCAAGAGAGCAGGGAGGTATGGAAGCTCACAAATACCTTCAGCACACAGGCAAAGTCCCGTTTTCCTCATCAAGAAAATGCCAGTCACTAGGAAGAAGGGGAGACAGCAGAGTCCTGCTAGGGCTGCTTTTGCCTTGGCAAGCCCTGCTCTAGTCCATAAAATTGCACTTCCAAGCAAAGACAGGGATAGAATGGATCATTCCAGARGTGGCCAGCTGAAGTGCCCACAGAAAGGAAAGCAAAGCTTTTGCACACAGAGTCCGGGCAAAGCCTGCTCTACTTTGCTGTAAACGCATGAGCACTCCCCAGCTCCTGAAAGCGAAGGAGCAAGCAGGGCTAACTAGGTGGAAAATGCCTGTATGCCAGCAAATGCACAGCTACAACCAGTTGGACTGGACAAGCAGACTGATGCTTGTTCTCTCTGGGAGTGCAAAAGAAGGCAAGACTACCAACGTCGCGGCTTGTGCGCTCCTGCTGCCCAGGGAAGGCTCTCCAGTAGCACTTGCTCCACATGCTGTCTGGTGAAGTGCTGAGCAACCCCAAGGGTGGGGACTGCAGCATTTCAAGGCAGTTAGTCACTTCCCCACAAGCTGTGTCCCCTAATACAAGTGGTCCATGGTGTGCCCATAGTTTGGGCAAAGGCAGCCCTGAGGAAAGGCCGTGGTGTGCCCGCTTGCCCCACAAGTGTGGATGGCGGGTTGCTCACTTCTGTCTTGGTGACTTTTTTCTACCCGGTGTCAGCTCTGTTAAGGTGAGGGTCTCCCTTCAGGTGATTCCTGCTCTCCAGAGCTTTGGCTGTCCACAGGAGGAAGAGCAGTGTCCTCTGAAGGCACTGCTGGAGAGCAAGGGCAGGGCAAAGCCCTAGGCCACCTCCTGACTGCACAGCTCATAGTCTGCCCTTTGAGCTGCTCCTCCACACATGGGGTGGAGGCCTCTTCTCTATGGCTGAGAAAGGGGGACGACACTGCCTGCCTGCCCAGGTGCTTTCACCACCTTCACTTAAGGACCCATTAGCTTCTCAGCATCTCTTTTCATTAACAAAACTCTAACGGGTGCAAGAACCAAACCCCTCACAGCCAGTGCACAGGCAGAGATCTCACTTCAGCTCTGGATATTTTTTTTCTTCCACAAGAAGGCTCTGTGCCATGGAGAACGCCCTCGGTCACCACACACAGGGCACATGTTTCTGAGGAGAGGAGAGCACCAAACAAAGGGAGGAGCCCAACTCTCCCTTGGAGAGATTTTCCATATACGGTGCCATCCACCCACAGCAGGGACTGTGTGAGACTTGTGGGCTAACAGTGCTGSTCATGTTGAGGGAAGGCAAAAATGGCAAGACCGTGTGGCTTCTGAAGCTGCTCCTGTGCCGTAGAGAAAGCTGAGAAATGGCCTTGGGAGGAAGGCAGTGAACCCAGCATGGCTCACAAACACCAGCAGTCCACAGGCACAAGTCCCATTTTCCTCACTAAGAAAATGCCAATCTCTAGTAAAAAAAGGGAGACAGCAGAGTGCTGCTAGGGCTGCTTTTGCACTGGCCAGCCCTGCCCTAGTCCATAGAAAYGCACCCCCAAGCCAGGGCAGGGACAGAGTGGATCATTCCGGTCGTGGCCAGCTGAAGTGCCCACAGAAATGAAAGCAAAGCTTTTGCAGACACCTTTAAAGACTCCAGGAGAAGCCTGCTGTACTTTACAGGGAAAACACCAGCACTCACAATGCCTGTTTTATTGGCAAGTGGACATTCAGCAGGMGTCTCTGGCAGTGCTGGATACTTGCACAAACTGAGGGACACCCTCAGCAGTGGCAGCAGAGTGATGCTTGTTCATTCTAGAAGAGCCGACAAGACTACCAATGTCGTGGCTCGCTCGACCCTTCTGCCCAAAGCAGGGGCTCCTACAGCAGATTCCTCTAAATTCCTCTAAAGTGACAGCAATGCTGTCACTTACAGCATTGGGTGAGCCCATTACACACATCTAGGAGTGGCCACTTTGCAGGCATGGAGACTAGAAGAGTCTTAGGGAGGACTTTGTTTGCTATTTGCATGGCTTTGCAGAGAAGGACCTGTGGGACCTAGCAGACAACACTAGAGACATAGACCAGCAAAGCAGCCTTGTAGCCCAGATGGCCAGTTGTAGTTTGGGTTACATTGGGAAGAGCGTTGACATAAGGTGAAAGGAGGGGATCTTCCCCTTCTGCTGGTCAGGCTGCAGCTGGAGTAGTGTGTCTGGGATCCCCGTTATGAGAGAGACGTGCAGCTACTAGAGCAAGTCCAGTGGAGGGCTGTTAAGATGATGAACAGATTGTAGCATCTCTCCTATGAGGAAACTTTTGAGAGGCTGCAGGGCCTGTTCAGCCTGGAGAAGRCAAGGGTGATGGTGGATCTTATCAATATGTGYAACTTACAGGAGGACATAAAAAGGACAGTCTCAGACTCTTCTCAGTGAGATCCGTGGCAGGATGAGAGGCCATGGGTCAAAACGAAGCATGGCAAATTCCATCTCATTATAATTTCCTCACTGAAAGGCAGACTGMGCGTAGTACAGCCTAGAAGGAGAGGTGTTGCAGATATCCATCCTTATAACCTGATKATGGGTATGGGGCTGGGCAGGTAGCAAGATTTACCACCAGTACAGAAAGAATAAATAAATTAGACAATAGATTTTGAGTAACAAAAATTGTATGCCGAATTCCTCACAAATTATTTCAAATTTTTAAGAACTACTATTTGTAATGAAATAGTGCTGAGCAAAAAGTTAACAAGGAATGCTGTATGTTCACTGGCCTTTGCTGCCTTTAGATGCTCATGGCTAATAAGGCAGGCAGCCATGTCGCTGTAGCGTGTAGCCCATAGCCCACACCTTTGGGCAAAGGAGGCTGAAGGAAAGGCMGGGCTTTGCAGATTTGGCACAGCCAGTGTGGATGGGGGGATCTCACCTCGGTTCCGAGAACTCTTTTTTCCACCATGGGTCAGCTCTGTGACAGAGAATGACCTCCCTAGTGCACAGAGGGCAATAGCATGGCACGTGTTTCTGAGGTGATGAARGCAGAAGAGAGCCAGTCTGTGCACTCCAGCTCTGCCAGTTTCCATATACGGAGAAAGCATTGCTGGGAGCTTGGAATTACTTCTGAGACTGGATGGATGGGGTAAGGGCTGCTCCTCAGTGCTGTATGGCAACCCTGCAGGGCTCTTCACATGCAGGACTGGCCTCTGCCCATTTCCTAATTGCCTTATCTTGAGCTGGGTCCTCCTGCTGTGACCTTCTCCTCTGAGGAACTCAGCCACAAAATCCCACTGTAACACAGGAAAGCAAGCAACCAGCACACAGGGATTTCCCTGCCGTGGTGCTCCACTGCCACCAACACAAAACTTGGATGCTGGCTCACCAGACAAGGGGCCTGCCTTCTCTCCTTATCCTTGTCTAATTCTAGATCTACCTCTCAACACACAAATGTAATTATATGTTCTGACTCATACACATGCAGTAGCACCTGGTGTGTGTTTTCTGTGTTGCTAGCTTTAACTAAATGTGACAGAACTAATATTTTAGCTGCTCAGCTATCTTAAAATGAGTGAGAGACAGGAAAATGATCAACGTTGGGTAGCTATGGAATGCATATTCATTAGGTTAACCTGATTAGGGACAAGTATCTTCCTCCTAGGACTATGCAAGCCTGTCCACTGGAGAGCAACGTTGGTGTCGCAGCACAGACGGCGAGTCCTTGTGTTTGAGCAGCTCTCTGCGCGTTTGCCGCCATCTGCCGCTGTCCTCAGTTCAGCGTCTTTAACGTCAGGCTGGCTCTGCTGCCCCTGTGGCCGTGCTCATTAACCAGGCAGCTTATTAACGAGGCTGAGAAGTAGACACAGAACAGCACAAACAGACGGCAGCACAACTACCCGGGACTAGTCAGCGTCCCAAATGGACAAGGATAATTGTCCAGTCTAGTGGGTTTTTTTTCTTTTTTTTTTTAATATTCCTTGTAGGCCTTGCATCTAGGTTTATACTTAATCTGTCCCTCCACAGCCCTCTGCCCATTCATGAATCCTTAATAGTCCAGATTATCAAGCAGATGAAAGAAGAGCCAGAGCCGTCAGGTGGGGACCAGAGGAAGAGGAGGAAGCCTTTCTCTTCTTGGTAACAGTGAACTTGGTAGATGARTTATTTTCTTGACACCCCAGCCTCAGACAGAGCAGCTAGCTCGGCTGGCTTGCAGGTGAGTGCCAAAGCCCCTATTAAATTACTGCGTCCACACTATGTTCACTCTTGAAGCCCTAGGAAGAGGCAGGATCTTTGATGCCAAGCGGGCGGTAAGCTCCATCCTTCCTTCGTGCACCGTTGCAGAACCCTCCCATCCTATCCCTAACCCACCCCTATCACCTCGTTGGAAACTCAGATTTTGCAGTGGTGTCATACTCCAAAAGGGGGGGAAAAAAAGTGATTAAACCGTTCTTATTTTGTGATTATTTAAACCTTAGTGGTGATCAGTGGTCAAGGCACCCAAAAGGGTCTGGAGGGCCGCACAGCCCCGGGGACGAGTGTCTGCATGGCAGAGCTCCGTGCCCTGGGCTGCGGGTCGGGCAAGCCCGGCTCCCACTGCCGGCTGCGAGGGCCGCGCCATGGCGGCGCGCACCTGCACCGGGACCGGGGCCATGGCCGGAGCCGGAGCCGGGGCCATGGCCGGGCAGGGCGGGCCGCGGCGGCAGCCTCCGCCTCCGCCCGCCCCGGCCCCCAGCGCGGGCGCGCTATAAGAGGCGGCGGCGGCGGCGGCCG